TGGATGATTGAAGAGTGCTGATCATCTGAAGGGGGTGAACTGATTTCGGTTTTTTGGGTGAAAAATTTTTGTTTTTTTTTGCATTACACTGTTTACAATAATTTAAAATTTATTTCATTTTATTTTACGAATGAATAAACCAACATTAAAAAATAATTAGTATATTAGCGTATGGATATATTTTAAAATCATTTTTTTTATTGTAAATACATATTTGTTTTTTAATTTAGCATGTTTTAAAAATATTAAATCCAAATGTATAACCCAGTAACGCAAACATAATTTTTTAAAAAAAAAAAAAGGTTCAAAAAATAAAAGTTTTTGGTATTTTTAATTTATTTTCAATTACCCCCTATAAACATTTCAAAGATTCATTGTTCTTTGTGACGCAGGTCTAACGACTTTAAAAGAATGCTGGTTCATGATACGACATGTATAATTTATAATCATACGTACACGCATATTGCAACGATGTATTTGGAATTTTTCTAAGGAAAAGTTTTAATATTCGATGAAGGGTGATAAATTACCAGCTTTAATCGGTAGAGACAAATGTTGTGCATTCCTTATATAAATAACTGTTAACCTGCCACAATAGACTAAAGTTTTTACAAAGGGGGTTACTATTATGCACATAATGGGTAAAAATTGCTACGATTGAGAGTGAGTGAAAAACGGACAACTAAATATTATGTAGTATAAGATATGTCTTTTATAGCGTTTTCTGTCAACGTGATAGTGTCGATTACTTTGGATGTTGGATTCAAAGACAGTTCCAACTCATGGGATTGAATTACCAAAATTCGAAATTTCTTAATTTCTTATCTCCAAATAAATTATTTTTGATTAATCTAAAAACTTACAAGATTTATCACATTTTTTTTTCATCTATGATTACAGAACTAATTGAGTTTTCTGAAACACGATCCTACATGCAGTACTAAAAACAAAGATCATCCGACCATTTTCCTGGAAAGATCTGATATGCGTGTGCAAAACATTCGGGTCAACGCGGCAAATATCAAGAAACTTGTGCATGCATATTTACTCAGCCTACGTTATCGAAGATATTTATATTACTTCGCACTATGTGGCTAATTTAAAAGCCGGTAAAAAACGTTTATTAAAAAATGTTCGGAGGAGTTGTAATACAATAACGGTTTTAGTCTAATTAAATTTTTTTTAAAGAAATTCCAACGTCATCTGCATAATTATTCATTAAAGAAGTTTCATTATTTATTTTGAACAATAAGATGGTAAAAATGTGCTATTAATAAAAGACCATTTCGTATTCTTATTAAATTTAGGACAAAAAGAATATATAATAACAATCATAATAATCATAATAATCATAATAATAATACTTTGTAATAAATCTGCAATCGATCAGGAAAGGCAAACCAGACTATCCGGTATTAAGGGTATTAGAGAGAGGCTCAGCTCTATATCTAGTTTTGTGCTGACAATTAAGTTTTTTTCCCAAAATTAGATGACTTTCATAAACGTAAAAATGATTAACGAATGTTAATATTTTAAACCAACACTTTTCCCAAAAAGGAGAGTATAAAAATAAAATGTGGCTGGTGTTTGTTCATAAATAGCGCATAAGTACAATCACCTGACACACTTGGCAGTGAGATGGGTATAAATATCACCTCTCCTCAGAATTGGAAAATCGTCCGTTCTTCTTGACGACAAAAAAAAACATTTTTCACGAAAAAAAAAAAGAAAGAAAATTATTTGCCCTCTTATAACGTCTTATAAAGAAGCAATCAAGATGTCCTTTAAATATATTATCGTTTTATTAATCTTATGCATTTTCGCCAATACCTGCGTGGAATCTTACTCGATACCTCAAGGTGATTATTTTTTAATTTACCTTAGCCATTTGAATAATTCAAAATCAATTAAACAATCTATGTAATAATAATTTAGTACTCGAACTTCATGCACGAGATGACTACACCGAAATTTTTAAGAAGCTTTGCGGAGGTAAGTAAAATTTAATGTTCACGGAAAATTTATATAAGATCTCTAAAAAAAATTTTGCTTCTCTGCCCACTTTTAAAGGATTCAACTATACCAACCCAAAGGCAAATGGTACAATTCCCGCACAACAAGTAGACCTGAAAGTGAAAAATGGCGACGTAATTAACGTTACTTGGGCGAAGAATCCAGACGCTGAGGTTTTGAAAGTGGTTTCTTGTGACCTGTATACGGACAAAGGACTGTCAAATCCTTTGTGGAATAAAACCGCCGACTTTGTTGGTACTGTTGCGTGGGCACTTGTTAAAGTTGTTGTTCCAGCGGCCGATGAATCTCTTCTTCCTAAGAGATACTTCTTAAGAAGTTTTGGTAGTACAAAAAATGGTCCACAATGTAATTGCTATAGGTATGATTGATTTTTTTTTTATTTGTCTTTTCGTGTCGAATATTTGTCGTACTAATTAATTAATTTCTTTATCCGTAAAAGTTCCTGGATCTGTGTAGAATAATGAAAGATTCCTAGATTTTCAATTTAAGTTCCCTCAATGTACATACATAATTTGGATTATGATATTATGAAATTATGATTGGTTGAAGAAGCGTCCAGATAGAAAATTTTTCCTTCTGTTCGGCATTCATTTACAGCCATTGTTTTTACCCCCGATTTTTTATTTGTCATGCATACTCCGTGTATTCCTGCGCTCCCCCTTAATTGTTTCAAGAGATATTTCAATCGCTATAATAATAACTTATTTACGTTGTAAATAAATTTAAATTAATAATAAATAAAAAAAATAATAAATATTATTATTATTTTTTTCCTCTATCAAATCATTGCGCATAATTACAGATAAATATGTAATGTTCTCTCGCAGAACGCAAGGTAAAAGGAAAGAAAATCTACTACGAAACTGTGAAACGCAGTACTATTCTATTCTTCATTTATGGATGAACATTTTAGGTCATTAAAATATTCACTTTGTGTGACGGTTTTCTTTTGGATTACATTACTGTACTTGTGTTGGGGTTAAGGCAGCTTATTGGCGGAATGCGTATGTAACGATCGAAAGAGGCAGGTATGCAATAAACATAATACAATGGCACATCGAATGATCATGAAATGTATACATGAGTATTCTTTCCTAACTTTGCCCATTCTCTTTAACCTAAATCCATGTTCTATATACGATCACACCACTAGTTTCTATGACATCATTTTAATTTAAAGCGAAAATCCGATCATGGGTTTCCCATCAGGCTTATGAAGATTGACTTATAAAGAATAGTTGATGTGTAAGATAACTAAAATTATCTTTTTGTTTAAATCGAATAATTAAAGTTCATCTAACCTATTCAAAAGAACTTCTAGAATAATAATCTCGGTTTAAAATAATAATTTTAAAAAGTAAAATATGAATTATTATTCATTTATTGATTTATTAAAAAATATATTTGTATTATATCGACAATAAAACAAAGATATTTTTTTAATATTTTGAAATACAGTATAATAACCATTATCATGATAATCTTATTCATATTATATTTTGTATAAATTATAAAAAATAAGAATAAAAAGTAAAAATAAATAATCAATGAGTTTGTAGTTAAAATTTAAGAAAAAAAATAATACTGTATAATAATATTCTTTTTTTTCATAAATCAATTAAAATTTGTTTCGTAAAAATTTTGATAAAAAAAAACCTTTTTTTTGGTAATGATACTGATATTTAAACAATTAACATTTTTTTTGTGGGTACATGTGAATGAACTATTGATGTTATAGAATTTGGTTTCTTTGATTATTATATTACATTATGTAGGGGCGAGAAATTTTGAGTGGTATTGAATTTTCATATGTAAGCATGCAACACTCCCTTATTTCACATATAAATATGTACTGTATATGCGACAGTTAAAAAAAAAAGCATTATTACATCATCAGTATGCTCCGGCTTCTGAGTTACAATGACTTTGGGTGCAGCGATTGTAGGAAGCGTATGGGTATTCATCTTGCTCAATGCTGCGAATCTCAAAATCTCTTTTTGAAAACCATTGAATTTAATCAAACTCTTTCGCCATAGAAGCAACATATTTCGGTACGCATAATTAATCATAATAAAGGCTGATCGTATCGTTATCACCTATTGCAAATGATTTATATATAATTTTTTCGTACCCCTAGACGCTTTTTCAATGACTTTCCTTAACTAATGTTTATCATCTGCATCATTGTCACTTATGATAGCAGATTTATGATAAATCTCATAGGCGATATTACTCTTATCCGTTTTGAGTTCATTATGGTTATCATCAATCACGAAAGAGTTGTTTATTTACAATATCATACCGGTTAATTATTTTTAGTAAAAAGAAATCAAGTCTTTCCAAAGAGGTATAGTGAAAAAGGTAGTTATAATTGTTGAAAATATTTAAAACCATTGATAATGATATACAACAATATTTTTATACATACAAGTTGGGTATACACACGAGAGAATTATTTTAAATGTTGATTTACTTACAAAAATATATTTCAATTGTATAAAAAATATATATTAAAATCAATGCAGTTATAAACATTTACTCAAAGTTAATATAAATTATACTGTTGTAACTTAATATTAGATTTTTGAAACATTTGAAAATTGTGATTACTTGATATAAATTCAGTAATAAAAATAATATTTTCTTGGTTTCTTAACAAAAAAAGCTAAAAAAACTTGAAAATTGAAAAATACTTTTTTTTTCGTTATATTAATTATTTTTATATCGAATAGCTTAATTATATAACTTGTCAAAAATATAAATAATACTTATGAAACTTCAAAAATAAATAAATAATAATTGACTATTAATTATATGGTTTTAAAAAATCACATTTAATGTAATCTTATTATAATTAATTTTATATTTTAGAAATTTCATTTAATAATTTTTTTTTTATATTTAATTTTAAATTGACTTGATAAAAAATATTTGAAAAAATATTTATATAATTATAATACTATTGAAATATTTAAAGAAAATAATATTATTATTCAAATAAATTTTAATAAAAATTTTTATATTGTTTAAAAAAGTTATTCTTTAAATATTAAAAAGTAAATACTGAATTTATAAAATTAATATTTTATTAAAAATATAATTTTTTTTTTGTTCTTTTATTATTATTATTATTTGTTAAATGTTTATTTGTTAAATTATTTGATATTTTAAAAAAAAATTCAAAAAATTATTTATTATAAGCAATAAATAAATGTTATTTTTTTAAAATATATTTATAATTAAAACCATTTATAAACTTGAAACTAAATTAATAATTTTTATTTTAATAAAATTTTATTAGTTTAATAATATTTTATATAATCTTTATTTAATAAATTTTATATTTTAATAAATTATATAATTACAAAAAATATTTTTTATAAATATATTTTTTATTTAATTATTTAATTTCCAGTGATTTAATTTTTTTTTTTTTTTTTTTTTTTTTTTTGTAGGTAAACATCATTTCTTTATTTGATTTGTATATAGCAGGGTA